GGAGCCCCGGGGCTGCGCCTCACCTCGAGCCATCTCTTCCGCTGGACTGCAGGCCTCTGGGCTGCCGACGTGCAGGCCCTGCCTCTGCCTGGACACAGTCCCTGGCTGCACTGTCCCGCCTCAGGCCTTCAGGACAAGTCCAGACTCCTCGCCCTGGTGCGCATGGCCACCGGGGCAGGCTACCTTGGCCCTGTCCCTGCTGGGCCTCTCCTCTGCCAAATCCAAGGCAACGCGGTGCTCCGGACGATGCCCCGGACGGACCGCCTCTTAGCAGTCTGGGGCCCCAGGAGGCGGGCCAAGTCAGGGACAGCAGAGGCTGCAGCCCACCCAGGTGCCACCTCCCCAGGATGCCCTGGCGGGTCGGGGGCACCCCAGGATCGTTGCTCTGCCCTCCCCCAGTCACACTCGAAAGGGGAGTGGGAAGGAGCCAGGAGGAAGCTGGGGGGAGATTGGTTGAGGCCGAGGCAGGCAAGGGCGGGGCTGGCTCTCGGTCCAATGCCCTCCGTGCCCCTGCCGGCCGGGGGCCGCGTTCCTGCGCATCTGGGAGGGGCTGCGAGCGCCCTGCACCTCGGCGGGGTTGGGGGCTCAGTGGTGCCTGGGGCACACACAGCTCCCCCTCCGGCAACTCTCTGGGGCACCAAGGAGCCATGGCAGCGTGAGGTGCGCAGGTGTGAGCGTGCACAGGTGTGCCCGGCGCTCCCACACAGGAGCTGAGCCTGCCTTGCGGGGGAAGGCACCGGTGTTCCTACCCTTCTGGGGCGTGGGGTGTTGATCTCGACGCAGGGCCGGGTCTGGGGAGAGGGAGGCCTCGGAGAGGTGCTGGGCGCACACACAGCAGAAATGTGGGCATCACACTGGCCCCTGGGTGCCTGCGCCCCGACATCAGCACCCAAGCCTGAAGCTGGGAGGCCCGGGCCCGGGTCACAAGGATGCGCAGAGCAGGGGGCATGCTGGCCTCCTTCCTGGCTCTGGTTGGGTGGGTGCCACTGTCCTCTGTCACCGGCCGGTGAGGTCCTTGCTTCCAAGGTAATGGAACTTGAACGCTGAGGCGTTCAGAGGAAAAAGCTGTGACTGGAAAGTGAGCCGGAGGTCAAGGTTCCCGGAAGGAAGCAGAGAGGGCGGGGAAGGGCTTCTGTCAGAGCCCCAGGACCACCGGCACGCAGGGCAGGTCACACTGCCAGCTCGCGGGAGAATGCAGGGGTCTCCTGGGCCACTGTCCCAGTCCAGCCGTCCCAGCCCCATGGCTCCAGATGGACCCTCGGGGTTTCGGGGCAGTGCTTCCCAGGAGGTGACCGTCTGCAGTGACCATCTGGGCAGCCAGTCAGCCCTGCAGACCCCCTACTTTGTCCTCAGTCTTGAGGGGGCAGAAGAGGCGGGGCAGGTGAGGGCTAAGGAACTTGCTTTACCAACCTATTGTTTATTTTATTTTACAGAGAATTAAAAAAAAATAAAAAAGATATAGAATTTTAGAACACGATGATAGAAATTAACAATGGTTATTGTACTGCATTTGTTCTCTTCAAAGTAGTTGCTCAGATTACCAGATACAGGCATGTAAGATTGATCAGACAATATAAGCACTAACCATTCCTTTCAATGAACTAATAGAAACTAGTAGTACTATCATCTTAGCTATTTTTTGTATACATATATATATATATTGCTCTTCCTTCTTTTCTTCTTTCCCCCATGCCAGTTGTTCTTTCCTTCTGAGCAGTTTCTTTTCATTTCACAATATCTATTGTATCTTTTGCATCTTATTTATTCTTTCAGTTTCTTACACTAGAGAGACAATATGATGTTTACACATGTGGGTCTGATTTATTTCACTTATGAGTATGGTCTCGAGTTGCATCCATTCACCTATAAAAGCCTCAAGTTTATCTTTTTTATAGCTGAATAATACTCCATTGTATAAAAATACCACATCTCTTTTATCCATTCCTCAGCTGATGGTCATCTGGGTTGTTTCCAAGATTTAGCTACTACAAATTGCGCTGCTATAAACATGGGTGCACATTTATCGTTGTGGTATGTTTTCAATTCTTCTGGGAAAATACCCGAAAGGGAGATAGCTGGGTCACAGGGTATCTCTAATCTGAGGTTTTTGAGGAATCTCCACACTGATTTCCACAATGGTTGCACCAGTCTACACCCCCACCAGCAGTGGAGAGGGTTTCTTTCTCCCCACAGCCCCTCCAGCATTTGTTATGGGTTGATTTTTTTGATGATAGCCATTCTTTCTGGGGTGAATTGGAATCTCAGTGTTGTTTTAATTTGCATTTCTCAAATGACCAGTGATGTTGAACATTTTTTCATACATTTGTTTGCCATTTGTATTTCTTCATCTTAGAAATGTGTATTCATCTCATTTTTGGATTGGGTCTGAATTTTGGAGGTCTGATTTTTTTTTTTTTTTTCTTTTTGGAGGTCTGATTTTTTAAAAAATTCTTTATATGTTCTAGATAGAAGTCCTGGCTAAAATTTTTTCTCAATTCATGGGTTTTCTTTTACTCTGTTAATGATTTCTTTTGATGTGCATAAACTTTTTAATAAGATGAGATCCCAGTTGTTAATTCTTTAAAGCATTTCCCATGCAGTTTGGTTTTTGTTCATGAACTCTCTGCCTACCCCTATGTCTTCAAGATTTCTACCTACTTTCTCTTCCAGTAGATTTAGTGTTTC